ACAAAGTGAAGAATCTTCAGAGGAAATCAGCGACATTGAGTCATCGGACATCCACGAATGGCAAACTATACAACATAGTAACAAAAAACGTAAAATTAATCCTCCGACACCAACAGAAAACGAAGACACGGTAGTAACCAGCAATAAATTTCAGATTCTACAAAATGAAAACGAAAACGACAACAATAACAGTACAGACAATACCAACAAAACTCCAGCAACCAATAAACCCCCACCAATTTTTATATATGGTGTTACTGAATACAATAAAATGGTTAATAATCTATCGGAAGTAGCAAAAACAGAGACATTCTATTGTACAGCATTAAAAAACAACACAATAAAAATAAATTCCCGGGACTCTGAAACATACCGAAAACTAGTAAGACATTTAAACAGCAAAAAAATTGTGCATCATACGTACCAGATGAAAGAGGATAGAGCATACAGAGTTGTAATTCGTAATCTACATCATACAGTGCCAATTAATATAATAAAAAGTGAAATAGAAAAACATGGGCATTTAGTACGCAATATTGTAAATATAAAACATAGAGTAAGTAAGGACCCTCTAATGATGTTCTACGTCGATATAGAACCTAATCAAAATAATAAAAAAATATATGAAATTCAATTTATAAACAACGCGAAAATAGTTATTGAGCCACCGTATAAAAAGAATAATATTGTCCAGTGTACCAGATGCCAATTGTATGGACACTCTAAGACATACTGTAATAGACCTTATCGCTGTGTCAAATGTGGAGGCAACCATATGTCAGCCGATTGTAAAAAACCTAAAGACACACCTGCCATATGCGCTCTCTGCAATGGAGCACACACTGCAAATTACAAAGGATGCCTAGTATATAAAGAGTTAATTAGCAGTAGAAACAGAGCAAGAGGAATATCATCGCACACTCCAGCGAACAATCAACTGCCATATAACAGAAATACAGTACAGAATAATCCGAACTTAAGCAATCAAAATCACGCGACTTACACACAAGCAACAGGTGGAACAATTGTAAATGATGTCCATAATAATACGAACTCATACAACCAAAATCAAGCAACTTACGCTCAAGTAACAAGTGGAATACATGGAAGCAATACACACAATGACATTGGAGAGATAATGAAGAGTTTCCTTAACGAATTCAAATCTATGTTTTCACAACTAATAAATCAAAATAGCGTGATCTTAAACATGCTTTCCACAGTAATAAATAAACTCAGTAATGGAACTTAAGTCACTACGAATTGCACAATGGAATGCCAACGGCCTAGGCAACCATAACACAGAAGTTACTAACTTTCTTGAACATAACAAAATTGATGTTCTACTCATATCGGAAACCCATTTCACTGACAGAACGATGTTCAAGATCCCTCATTACTCTATTTACAACACCAACCATCCTGATGGAACAGCACACGGTGGCGCTGCTATTATTATACGTAACACCATACCACACTATGAGGAAACAATGTATCAGACGGAAAAAATACAAGCTGCAGTAATCTGTATCAGTTCTCAACCACAGTCTTTTAACATCGCGGCAATGTACAGCCCTCCAAGGCATAATATCTCCACAGCAGAATATGAAGACTTCTTTAAACAGCTATCAAACAAATTCTTGATTGGAGGTGACTGGAATGCCAAGCATACAGACTGGGGGTCGAGACTATGTACGACAAAGGGAAGAAATCTTAGGCAAGCCATAGCTAATACAAACAGCTCTTACTTATCTACAGGGCAACCCACCTACTGGCCATCAGATCCAAACAAAATCCCAGATCTACTTGACTTCTTTATCCTTCATAACATGGCCTTAAATTATTTTGACATACAACCATCCTGGGATCTGTCCACCGACCATACTCCCATAATTGTAACACTATCTACGCAAATTATAAAACGTCCGCATATCCCTAAGTTAACAACATTAAAGACCAACTGGAATGTATTCGAGTCTTACATAAATGAAAATTTAAATTTAAATATAAGATTAAAGCAACCAGACGATATCGATAACGCTGTGCTTATTCTCACCCAAACTATACATGCAGCCGCAGAAATAGCTACACCCCCTCAGAATGACAAAGAACCAAGTGACACCAATATACCCGTGTATATAAAACGTCTTGTAGCACAAAAAAGAAGAGCCAGGCGCATATGGCAAAGAAGTCGCAATCCTATAGACAAAAATGAATACAATAGATTAACACGGCAACTTAAAACTGCTCTACAAGACGCGAGGAATGATACATTTGAACTATTCATCGACAGCCTGTCAAAAGAAGACCACAGCATCTGGAAAGCAACGAAATCATTCAAGAGGCCTACACAGCACATAACACCTCTAAGGAAAGACGGTGGAAGCTGGGGAAAAACTGAACAAGAAAAGGCATCAATCTTTGCTGCACATCTCTCACACGTTTTTGGTGCACCTGAACTTAATAACCATAATGACGAAGAACAAGTTAAAAACTTTTTAGACACTCCATGCCCAATGATGCTACCAATCAAATTCTTTACTCCTAATAATGTAAAAGAACAAATTTCTAGATGCAATAACTACAAAGCACCAGGCTTCGACATGATCACCGGGCTAATATTAAAAAAATTACCGAGAAAAGCAATTGTCCTACTAACAATGATATATAACAGTATCATAAGATTAGCCTACTACCCGATTAATTGGAAGTTTGCACAAATAATTATGATAAGTAAACCAAATAAACCACCAAATAATGTTACTTCATATAGACCAATCAGCTTACTTCCAATAATGTCAAAAATCTTTGAAAGACTTCTGCTCCAAAGAATCTCAGAAGACATCGAAATTAATTCAGTGATTCCAAACCACCAGTTTGGTTTCCGCGAAGCCCATTCAACTCTACAACAGTGCCATAGGATTGTAAAAAACATTAATGTATGCCTCGAAGAGAAAAAAATTTGCACTGCTGCCTTCCTGGATATAGAACAAGCCTTCGACCGTGTTTGGCATGACGGCCTCCTATATAAACTTAAGTCATCCTTTCCCACCCCTCACTATCTTCTTTTAAAATCATACCTCACAGAACGTTACTTTCAAGTCAAATTCCTTACAGAAACCTCTCATTACTATCCCATAAAATCCGGTGTCCCTCAAGGAAGTGTCCTGGGTCCCCTCCTGTACCTCATATACACTGCTGATATCCCAACAACAAATACGACCACAGTAGCCATGTTCGCAGATGACACCGCCATAATATCCATCGATGATGACCCCCAAGTAGCATCAAGAAACCTTCAAATACTAAAGATGGGAGTATTCGAATACTGGAATCGAGTAGTATCCGATTCCTTACAGAATCAAATGTACTCGAGTACTCGAACTGGAAACCGATTGAGTACTGGGTACCTGCCGAATATAGACGGTTGTAAATTACAGTAATGTTCGGGTCATTCGGAATTTATCTGTTTCTGGGACCTCGGTTCCATCTGAAAGAGTCTTTTCGAAGGCAGGACAATTAACGAACGATCGTCGAAGCCGACTATTACCAAAAAACTTGGACAAAATTACATTTTTAAACAGTTTTTATTCTTAAGGTAGTTTTTGTTTTATTTTTTTTTGTAATATATTCTAGAATGTTTTTTTTTATTTTATTTATACTTAATTTCTATTTTTAATGTTCATTTAATATTTAAACTGTTTTTTTATTTTTAAGACAATAGTAGAATATTGAAAGATTTTTTATTAGCTAAATAATTACTTTATGTATACCAAATATTATATTTAAACACTCTTTTATTAGAAAAACGTTTGGTCCATTTTTGTGATACCTATCTTATTTGTTTTCAAAACTTATATTTATTATAAAACAAAAAAACACGCATTACACACACAAATAATTGAAAAATCAAAGATACCTAAAAATTGTCAAACCCACTATTAATTCAAAATCTGATAGCTACAGTACTCGGTACTCAGTACTCAATAAAGTATCCGATTCCTTACTGTACTCGATTCCACGGTAACCGATTCCCATAAGTAATCGATTCTGACCATCACTATCAAATACACCTGAACCTAGTACAAGACTGGATGAATAGATGGAAAATCAAAGTTAACCATAATAAGTCTAATCAAATTACATTCACCAATAGGAACATCATATGTCCGAGAATCAGACTGAACAATATACTACTACCAGTAAAAACAGAAGTCAAATACCTGGGAATGACACTTGATCAAAAACTCACTTGGAAAGCACACATATTGGCCAAGAAGAACCAAATCAACATGAAAATACGTCAAATGAATTGGCTAATAGGCCGAAAATCACAGTTATCAACAGATAATAAACTTCTATTGTATAAGTGCATAATAAAGCCTATATGGACATATGGAGTGCAACTATGGGGCTGTGCAAAGCCTTCTAATACCAAAATCATTCAGAGAATCCAATCCAAAATACTCAGAATGATTTTCAACGCGCCGTGGTACGTTAGTAACAAAACTCTGCATGATGACTCTGGTATACCGTTCGTTGAAGACGAAATCAGCAGACTAACAAGAAATTATTTAGAACATCTGCCAACCCACCCCAACGAGGAAGCAAGACAACTACACCTCCAACCAGAAGTCAGACGAAGATTGAAGAGACAGTGGCCAACAGACTTTATACACTAATTTCAATTTTAACTTTACTTTTCATCTCAATTTTAATTTTAAATTATAATCATACATTAATTTAATTTGTTAGTGTTAGTATTGGGAGTGTTATCAATGGATAATTTCTCCTCTCATGTATTTGCAATAATCACATTTACTAATAGCTTGTAATAGCAGATTGTAAATTTGCAAATTTAATAAAAAAAAAAAAAAAAAAATCTCAATTGGTTTAATGTAAATAATTTGGGTTTTTTAATAATTCATATTTTTTTAATGAAATTATCAAAATAATAATACTTTACATAAAAAATATACAATATTTTCTATTCAGTTCATTCAGTCATATTGAAACAATTTATCTATTGGAAAATGGTCGAAGAAGTTGCTTATAATTGTTGACATGAACCCTTCTACAATATGTACAATGGGAGGAGCGAATTGTTCTTTTAGGACTTCTTGATTTTCATTAAGGACTTTGTTGGAAGTTTCAGTAAGTTCTGGATTGCCATTAAATAAATTGTTGAGCCTTAGATTTACTATTCCTATTATTGGTGTAATATCTATTGATGAGATTTTGAGGAAAGTTTTTCCGTGTTTTGTTTCTCTTACTCCGTGGCCAATTAGGGTTACTTCCAGGTTTGCTAAAAACAGAAAAGTAATTAACGAACGATTTTCATATACTTAGTATTTTTTAAAATAAAATATATTATTACGAATTAAAGGAAGAAGATTTTACTCCACCAATATCAGTTGGAAATGAGATACTCCAGGTACAAGAATATTACGTAAAATGCAAGGATATAAAATAGAACGAAACGGGATCTAAATGACTTTCACCCCATTTAATACAACAGTCAAATCTTTCGAGAGGATGGTTAGAGTAAAGTCAACGACAATGTCAAAGATTATGGTCAAAGTAAGTAATTGTCAAACATGAAATAAATATTAGATATTTATTTATATTTCAACGTATAGAAACATGCAACTATACCTAAAATATTGCAAAACAAATTCAATGTAAACCTTAATGTGGAGATCAAATCAAGAATCTACAAGACAACTTAAAGATCTATTACGACATAAAATGCATAAACTAGACAGAAATATCAGAAACCAGAAACAATTAAAATAAATATGATTCGCAGAATAGCTAGACGAAGAAAGAAGTAAAAATAAATAAATATTCTTCTTTTTCTTCCTCTTTATAAGCAATTCTGCTTGTTCATTGGCGGATTAACACCTCTATAGAAGGTTGTCACTCCATCTTTTGCGCCGTCGTCCGATACTTGGGTCTCCTCAGTGTTAATGTATCTCTCACTTCTTTGTCCAGATCTTCATAGCTGGACACTGTAATTCCCAGGTATTTTAATTCTATTACTTGTTCAATACTAATGTCATCAATTTTTATTTTACATCTAATTGGTTCTTTGCTGATTACTTTTGTTTTAGTTTTCTGTGAACAAGTCTTTGCAGACTATCTTTATCTTGGGCTATCAATATTGCATCATGTGCGTAAGAGTATTTTTATTTATTTGTTTTCTATTCTGTATCCTCTTCCTTTGTTAAGGCTTTTGATGATTTCATCCATGATTAAATTGAAGAGGACGGGGTTCAATGAGTCCACTTGTCTTATTCCGCTGCCTATTTTTATAGGATCTGTAAGTTGTCCATCTATTCTGACTTCCATTTTGTTGTTTTGGTAGATATTTTCGATGGTTTTTATAATATTTAGGGAACTTCTTTATTATACAGAAAATGGATTACATCTTTAAGTCTTACTCTGTCAAACGATTTATTTAGGTCAATCAGATACAGAAATGCTGGTCTATTATATTTTAGTGAGTTCTCAGCAATTTTCTTTGTAAGGAATATTGCACCTGTACACAATTTTCCACTACGAAAACCCTGTTGTGTATTTGCTAAACTTATCCTCTGATTTATTAGTACTTGTAAAATTTTATTTGTGTTTTAGCGTAGTCTTTAACAAGTTTATATATCTCTGTAGTTTTCTGGCTGTTTTATCTCCTTTTTTGAATAGTAGAATTAGCTCGCTTGTTGTCCATTCTTCCGGTATTTTTTTGTGGTTTATAATTTTTTTTGAAAAAAACAGCTGAAAAAATATAGCCTACGTGTAATCTTTATTCTTCAATTATAATATTTCTTTCGTCATTATCATCATGAAATGCTTCAATTTAGTTACATGAGAAATCACAATTCTTCAGTCTGATGAATGAAGAATGGGAAACAGAACAAAGACCACAATTCATTGGAAAAGAAAACGGGCAAAAACGAAGCAGATCCCTACAACAAAAAATAGAAATAACAGATAGGGAAATGAGATTGGCCATAAAAACAATCAAAAATAAGAAACCACCGGGACCTGGAGGCATATCACACGAGCTTATATAGAGTATATAACATCGCAAAAATCCACATGTTCAGTTTATTGACATTTGAAGGATATACCCTTTAAAAACAAAATACTGCTTTTTTTCTCTGTATAGGCCAAGAAGGTTTATGTGTCCACAGTATTGTCTTGATGTCTTGTTAGAGGTTTTTTCGCAAAATAATTCATAGGATATGCAAGCAAAGTTTACACAAAACCAACCCACACCATCAGATATTTAAATTACCACTAGAACCATAACTTATGCATCAAAAAATGAATCATTAAATAATTATATGATAGAGCCTAAAGTAAATTCTAATCAAAACGCATTTAAGAAAGAAAACAACTTGCCAACAAAGGTTTTGACAATCAATTTTACAACAAAACAGTATTTACGAGGCTTTGGATTGGTAACAATACTAAAAGAAGAAGTCAAGAACAAAAACATACCAATATAAGCGGATTAATAGGAAGTCGGAGACATATTATGAATACAATTTGTATACAATACAAAACACAAATTTTACACTCCATTCATCCAATGGCACTACAGCCCAAATCGGGCTTTGGTCTCTTTCAAAAAGCTTCTCCAATCATTTCGATTTACCGCTGTTCTTTTCCATGAACGCGTTCCCAATCAGTTCCTGGCATCCTTATCGATTTCGTCTTCCCATCTCTTTTTAGGTTTTTTAACAGGTCTTTTTCCCTGCATTGTTGCATTTGGTAATTTTCTGGGAATCCTATTCTCATGAATGCAGACCACGTGCCCTGGCCTCCGTAATCTCTGCAGTTTAGTGTATTGTGCTAGAGTCGTTTCGCTATATTGCTCGTATATTTCTGTATTATACATAATTCGCCAGTTGTTGTTTTTACTTATTGGGCCCAGTATCCTACGTAATATATTTCTTTCAAACACATCTAATGCATTGGCAGATTTCTGTGTCACCATCCATGTTTCACAACCATAACTTACTATGGGCCTGATTATTGTTTTATGGACCCGGAGTTTTATTTTCCGGTGTACGTCTCGCGATTTGAATATGTGGCCCATCGCAAAATAGGCTTTATATGCCAGCCCAAGCCTTCTATTTATTTCCGGGTCTTCTTCATTGCTTGAGACCAGATGTATTCCTAGGTATGTGAATCTATTCACATGTTCTATATCGTCAAAAAAGTGTTGTTGCGCCTGTCTATTTGATCTAATTTGTATGAGTTTTGTTTTATTTGTATTTATTGCTAGCCCTAGTGCTTGCGCACTTTGTTTCAACTCACCGTAGGTTTCTTCCGCTGCATTCACTGTTTGTTCATTATGTTTATATCATCTGCGTATGCTGCTAATTGGGTAGATTTGTTTGTAAATATGTTTATATTTCCGCTCACCGTCAACCATCTAATTACATATTCAAGAACAATATTAAAGAGCGTTGGAGCCAGTTCATCGCCTTGTTTCAGACCTTGCGTTATCGTCAACGCATCAGTGATCTGTCCTTAAATTCATACCTGCGCTTGTATAATTGAATCATAGGCTTGTTTAAAATCTACAAAGAGATTGTAAACGTCCATATCATATTCCCATGCTTTGGCTAGTATTTGTTTAACTGTAAATAGTTGGTCAATGGTAAACTTATTTTGCCTAAACCCTGCTTGATATTCTCCGATGATTTTTTCCGTGAGAGGTTGAAGTCTTCGATTAATGATGTGAGTATTTTTTATCCCGAACAAAGTAAAGAGATGCCTCTATAATTTTAACATAATAGTTTCTCTCCTTTTTTATGAATAGGACAGATTATACTTTTCTTCCATTGTTGGGGGATTTCTTCTTCTATCCATATCTCTCGTATTAGCTGGTAAATCTGTTGTGTCAAATTCCTTTCTCATTGCTTGAGTAGTTCTGCCGGTATTTTATCTATTCCCGGTGCTATATGGCTTTTTTGTATGTGGATTGCCGTTTGGACCTCCTTTAGCGTTGGGAATCTAGTTAATTTATTTTCTTCTCCATCTTCCCCCAGCTCTTGTTGTTGTACCTCCTGTCGTGCCTACTGCTGCCTCTGTTGTTGTAATGGTGGTTGTGTCCCTTTGTTTAGTAATTTCTTAAAATATGTCATCAAGGTTCTCTTAATTTCGTCCATATCGCTAATGATTTCACCCTTCTTATTTTTGAAGAGGCTAGTCTTCGGTTTGTATCCCTGTCTTAAATGTTTGATAAATTGGTATGCACTACGTATTTCATGTTCCTTAAACTCCCTCTCTATGTTTAGTATCCGTTGGTTTTCATACTTTCTCTTTTCCTTCCTGCACAGTTTATCTGCTATTCGTCTTTTGTTCTCACAAATATTACACACAGAGAATACAAAAACACACACACACACACACACACACACACACACACACACACACACACACACACACAAATAGTCAGAATTTGATATTCCGAGGATAAAAACATCACTTTTGCATTTTATCAACTGTAAGCATGCTGCTTCCTACAAGATCAACGCTTTCAAAACGTTTTTTGGAGTGGAAAAGAAAATTTTCATTAGAATTAATTGTAGTTTAATCCCATATAAATATAATATCTAACTTAGACATGCCATAAGAAAACAGTTTTAGAGCCTTTGTACACAAGAACATAGTGTTAGAAGCATATTACGAAATAAAATTATTTACTATAGTATTTTAAAACAACACTTACTGATATTGATCTGACCAGGTCCACTTCCATCTAGAGTCAAAATTAATAATTTTCCTTTAACGTTGTATTCTCCTTCTGCACGAATATGGGGTATATTTACTTTGATTTCTAGATAATTATTGTCCAAATCAACTTTCAAATCTTTCACAATGAAGGTATTTATACCATACATTTTGATATCCTTCATTGATGATTTAAATTCCTTTCCAATATTCAGCTAAAAAAGTTTATAGATACATTAATTTATATGTTATATAGATAAGTACATATACATGTACTTTGAGATACCATTAAATATTAGTTAAGACAGGATCAGATTTTGGAATATCGTAACTAAATTAGGTAAATTAAAGAGACGAAATGGAATTAACAAGGACGAAAATTCAAGTGATGTATACAAATTGTGGTGTAAAAGATATAGTGAACAATAATACTAAAAGTATTAAGATAATACTGAAAGAATTAAGAAGTGTTATAATTGCTGGAGTTGTTCTAATTGCTCTTAAACAAACAAAAGAAAGATTTGTAGAAGTTGTAAAAATGAGTGGTAGTAATGTAGTAGATATTTATGTAAACGCCCTTCAAGTTGGACTGGATAAGAATGAAAGAAAAGTTGACATGAAAAGTTATGAAAACATAATTTTTTTGGGGGGATTCAGTAGCTCAACGTAGGATAAAGGAGGAATGTGGTAAGATTCGTCACCATCACCTCGGACATCGCACTCATACAAACTGAACGTGTTAATTCCATGAAAATTAAAACTTTTAGTTTTTTATAAGAAAAAACAGAACCAAGTCCGGTTTTTATGTAAAATATGTAAAGAACAAAAAATTGAGTATGGAACACATACCAGAGTAGTACTACTAGTAGTGTGAGTTCTTCTTTTTTCTTTCTTCTTGTATGTAGGCTTTAAATCCTGTTTCTTCTTCAATATTAGCCTCCTAAATTGTTTAAATTACCGCACCATCTTTTTCTGCCAAACTTTCGTCCATTTGGTGACTTATCTCGTGCTATTCGCACTATTCTATCCTCTAGAGTTACTGATGTGTTCGTTCCACTCCTGTTTTCATTTTGTTACTCATCGATTTATGTCTTCTATATTGCATGCTCTTCTTATGTTTTCGCTACTCTCCCTATCCAACAGATTTCTCCCTGATATTCGTCGTAGTATTTACATCTCTGTTGTTTCTAGTAGTCGTCTCGCTTTAGATGTGTCAGGTCTTGTCTCCGCCGTGTTTGTTAACATAGGTCTAATTGCTGTTTTATAGATTTTTGTTTTTGTCTTGTCTTAGGTGTTTATTTTTCCAGATTGTGTCATTAAGAGATCCCGCCACTTTACTTGCTTTTAAGCTTTGTTGTCGTACTTCTTCTTCTTCGTGAGTTGATTACGTCAATGAAATATCCAAGGTTTAGTCCACCTTTATCATTATTATTGATATTAGCATATCAACAACCAGTAAGGACACAATTAGTGCTGACATGAAGCATAAAGGATTTTAGAGAATAAACCATGGTAATTAATCTGAGTTTCACTACACCAATCAAATAAGAATTATGTAAGTAAAATTCAAAATATATATATTTATTTTTTAATATTTAATTATTTATTTGAAAAGCAAATATATGGAATATGTAAGTTAAAATAAAACTTCTGTTCAATAACATAAAATTAAAAACGATATATTTAGTCACACTTGAGTCAAATATACTCTTGCTTCACTTTCATCTTTTTTGAGCTACATATTTTTGTAAGGTAAATCTTTGTAAGATAAATTTTCTAGTCCAAGGTTATTCAGCGTGTTTTTCCTGACATAGCTCACCAGTTTAAAAACTATAATTGAATGAGATTTATTGGCAGCAAAAGATACAGATGTGGTGATCTTCATACAACCATTCTGAATTTTCTTCCAGGAAAGATGTTTTCGTTCAAATTAGTTGACACAGTTATAAATCAGGATGATTTAGTTAACTATTGTACAGAGTTTTTGAATTTATTGTAATTGCCTTGATTCTTATAATTTCCAACAATTTCCAATTAAAAGTAGGATCAGTTGTCAATATGCTAAATTACATTTTTTTTTTCGTTTATGACCGTTAGAGTAGATGATACCTATGTTAGCTGTGTCATTTTAGTGAGAAATTGTGTGGGATTGCGATGTGGATAAAATAGTGATAAAATATGATAATGATAACAACTTACTTCTGCAAATGGAATTTTTAAGGGATTAATACTAGGAATTCCCAGCTCTGGAATGCCGTCATCTAGTTTGGGCCTAATGTTTTCAATATTTTCCATAATACATTTTGAAATATCCGTTTCCTTCGCTTTGCAAACATTAATATATTTAGCTAAAATAATAAAATAAAAATTAATTAATAGTCTGATATATTTAAATTTAACTATAAATGATCAATTATTCTAAAAAAAATTATTTGCAAAATAAGTTCAAAAGATAATATCCAAATAGGCCAAAGAAAGCCTTAATGTATGTTCCGCCAGAAAGAAGGAAAAGGGGAAGACCACCAAATTCCTGGAGAAGAGAAATTACAAAAGCAATGCAATCTAGAGGCTTAGAAGAGGGAGATTGGAGAGATAGGAAAAGATGGAGGCTGAAATGCGGGAAGCGGCAATCGCCGTAGGACCCCCGATGGATGATGATGATAATATCACATTATATCAAATGTACTTTAAGGAGACTAAAGCTGGCAATGCTAGTACCAGTCTGTAGTTAAACCTATTTTATAACCAGGTTAGTAATACATTTAGAACATATTTAGCAAGAATGGCTAGTGATAGACCAACTCATCTATTTTTTGCGAACTTAAAGAAAGCTTATAGTACAATACAGCTGTGTAGACTATGGCAAGTGCTGAAAAGTAAAGATTAACAACCAATTCTCCGAGAATTTTAGGGTAAATAAAGGACTAAGCGCATAAGTATCCACGCAATTTCGAAGAAGGATACAAACCCTGAATATACTATGCAGAATTTAAGATGAGCAAATAACCAGCGATCCAAAAGAAACAAAATCAGTCTAGAAAACCTATTTTCAGTTTCAATTTCATGAATTAGGTGCCGAACACCTAGTAGGACAAACGAATATGCTCATAAACAAGATTTGGAATGATGAAAAGATCCCTAGTGACTGAAAAACTGGATTATGCATATACCCAATCTATAGAAAGGGGATAAACTGAAATGCAAAAATTACAGTGGCATAACCCTCTTTAGGGTTAGTAGTGCACAGCTTACAAAGTTTTTACTTAAATTCTAAACAAACGACCCCAACAATTAATTGAAAGCATTAAAACTGACCAGCTATTCACAGTGAAACAAATTCTAAACAATTCCTGGCTCAATTATTAGACACAAGTTATATCAGATATTGCATAGCTTTAATATCCCCCAAAAATACATTCGGCAACTGCTAGAATACATAATGAGCTTACCGAGAACTTTTCAATAGTTAGGGCCAAGGCAAGGAGACGGACTGGCACCGACACTATTCAACCTGACTCCCGAATACGTAACAAGACCGCTAAATATGGGAAGAAATAACCTCTTAACAAAAAAATCAATACAGATGGTCGCCTATGCCAATGACATTAGCAAGAGATCTCGAAGAACTGAAGAAATGGCAGAAATATATTAACAATTAAAAACAGGCGTAAAAAAAATTAGAAGTACATATTCAAAAGACAAAAAATGTAACACAGGCAAGAGCTAGGAGAAACAGCCACATAGTTGAATTAAATAACGATATTAAAAACTGTATTATATATTTGGAAAAGTTTTATATATTTAGGAGTTGCAATAAGTACGGATGAAATAGAAGAACCAAAAATTCAAAGAAGAATGGTAGTGGAAAACTATGGTTTTTATGGAAATGGAAATGGTTATTATGGAAAACTAAACTAATGGTTTAGTTCCATCTAAAAACATACACTGGAGATCGAAAATGAGGATCTACAAACTACTATCATACAAACTACTATCAGACCATTAGTAGAGGTATAGGTACAACCATAAACTCTACCAACTATTCAAAGAGTCACCGAACTCAGAATTCGTAAAACTTCAGAGACTTCGATGGACCGAAAACAGCCCTAGATAGTAAAAGAAAAGTCATGGAAAAGGTGAAAAGATGAAGTGGCAGCGCACAATTTACTAGACGTAAGAACCCGAAGAAGATTGACTCAAGACCAGCAATGTTCAGCAGCTCAGCAGTACTGGCTTATTAACCAGAATGGCCCGGGTTCGATTCTCGGTTCTGAGACCAGAATTTTTTTTAATTTCTAATGTAATTGAGCTGCCATCGTGCATTGGAGAGCACGTAAAGTCATCGGTCCAGTCTATATAAGTAGTTGTCACGCTAGAGATGCTTATGAGACCTATAAGCCCTAAGCCTTCTAAATCTGAGTCAGAAGGATACACGAACCCAACTAAAATGAAATTAAAAGCCTTCGATACAAATCTAAAAGCTGTATGACTATATGACTGTAAAACGTGGAAGATGTCAGCACCCATAGTCCACCAATTACAAGCTTTTATCAATAGAGCGTTACAAAAAAACATTCCTATATTTTGGCTTAATCGAATCTCAAATGAAAAGTTATGGAACTAAAAATACCAAAAAAATTTCATAAAACACAAAATACGAAGAAAATGGAGATGACTAGTCCATACACTACGTAGAACCCCAGATGAAATTGCGAGGTCAGCACTGGATTGGAATCCTTAAGGTAGAACCGTAAAATACTTGGAAAAATAAACAGAACTGGACGAAGAAAAAAATTGGACAATTCGGGCTTGAAATAAAAGCACTGGTGAGAAATAGAGTTAATCATAAGGTGATACATAAAGAACTTACACAACTTTTTAAAGAGGAAATTAAGGTTATACAGAGATACATAATCAAAAAGCAATAGTTCAATTCGATGGAAAATCAGTAGAAAAAACTTTGGAAGGTAGTTAAAGTGGAGTTAGGCAAGTTTGTATCCTGTCACCAGCACTATTTAACTTAAACTCAGAACTCCCAAATAATAAAGAACTTTTAAATGAACTTATTGGCATAAAAGTAACTGCATTACCAATTAACAACATCAGATATGCAGAAAATCTCAAAGGCTAGAAATATTATTAAACAGCATATTAAAAATTAGTAAAAAATATGGCATAAAGCTTACCAAATTAATGGCGACCACATTAGAAGAGTTGAGATATATTGGAATAATTTCCTTTCCTATCATATATCATGTATCATAGAACTTGGACAATGAGAAATAATACTCAAACGCTGAAGTACTTAGAACAATGAATAAGGAAGGAAAATTATTATTTATAAAACTATTAGGTTTTGCATAACCTATTAGATTCTGCAAAATATAATCATAGAAAATATTTATTATATATAATCAAAGAAAAATATAATTCGCATTGGTACTTGGAACGTAAAGTCTCTAAACACAAGGGAGAAGGAAATTACAAAAGAATTGCTAGAAAAAAGTATAGATATGTCTTCACTAGAAGAGACGGAGAAAAAAGGGAGGGGTCAAATTATGCTAGATGACTATCTGATCATTTACAGTGGTGTTGCGAAAGAAACCAGAGCCAAAGAAGGAGTCGCTCCTTCCAGACCAGAGAGATACCAACACAAGGAAAAACACCTTCAGACTGTAATAAACGAGACCCCAAATGATGAATATCTAATCATTATGGGTGATTTTACTGAACGTGTTGGCAATAATAAAGTATTGAGACTTGGTCCTTTTTGTCAGCCCTGAAGGATGCTCGAATAGACTCACGGTACACTACACTCATTAAAAACATTTATGAACAGGCCACATTCCACATCAAAATCAATGAAGACGAAAAAACTGAAAAAATGCGCCTTGATAAAGGTATTAGACAAGGTAATACTATTTCACCAAAGCTTTTTACCTTAGCATTGGAAAATGTATTCAAACAGCTTGACTAGGAGGAAAAAGGTATAAACATTGATGGTGTACGTTTAAGTCATTTGAGGTTGGCGGATGTCATAGTATTATTTAGTACAGATATCAAGGAACTGGAGCAAATGTTGAAGGAATTAAACCAGCAGTCAAATAAAATAAGTCTCAAAATAAACCTTCAGAAAACAAAAATAATGAGTAATTTACAAACTAATCTTGTTATTGACAACGTCAGTCTTGAAAATGTAGACCACTATATATATCTTGGACATACCATTAAAATCGGCAAAGAAAATCAAATAGCCGAAATAAAAAGACGCATACAACTGTCTTGGGGAGCTTTCGGCAAATTAAGCTTTATTTTGAAGAATAAAGATATACCAATGTGCCTAAAACGTAGAGTTTATGACAAATGTATCTTTCCTGTAACTACATATGGACTGGAGACCATGGCCTTCACAAAGAAAACCTTAGACAAACCCAAAGAGCAATGGAGAGGGCCATGCTAGGGATTAGTTTGAGAGACAGGATTCGAAATAACGTCATTCGTGAAAGAACAAAAATTACTGATGTCTCAGAACGTATTGCAAGGCTCAAGTGGAAATGGGTCGGACCCGTTGCCCGAGATAATCCCGAAAAATGGACACAAAGATTAACAAACTGGAGACCAAGAGAGAACAGGCGAGGAGTAGGCAGACCGCAGAAGAGGTGGACAGACGATATCAAACAAGTCGCGGGCAAGCAGTGGATGAGAATTGCCAAAAGTAGAAATCGATGGAAGCAAATGGAAGAGGCCTATGTCCAGCAGTGGACGAACACAGGCTGAAGAAGAAGAAGAAGTTGGCAATAATATAGTTTCAGGAATAAAACAGTGATATAACAACAATATCACAAATAAAAACAGAGACCTTTTGACGGACTTCTGCAGCATAAACGGGATATGTATTAATAATACATTTTTTCCTGACAAAGAACCATAAAAATACACTTTTGAAAACAATAGAGGACAAATATCTATGATAGACTATATTTTGTCGTATAGAGAGTTACAGCCCTCTCAAATCTTCGATGTAAGAGTACTAATATCAGCAAAAATAGGAAGCAATCATCAATTGGTATTGTGCAAAATCCGAATGAAAACACACATATGTGATATCAAAACACCAGAATATAGCACAAAGATAAAAGTCGAAAGCTTACAGGATGACTCCACAAGATACCTATTCCAAAAAAAGAGTAACCGAATAAAGCAGAAACACGTATATCACAAAAAGTGATGGAGTCAAAGAAAGCTGGGCAAAAATTAAGTCTAATATTACCATCGGCCAAGGAAGTTCTTAGTGAAAGAAATAATAAAAATAAATCGTCCCCAAGGCGACGAACTCCATGGTTTTGTA